CAAGACAGGCAATAGAAATAAACTGCCACGCGACCTCATGGACAGAGATTAAAATTATAATACAGAATAATTTCGGGGATAGACGTTCTTGCGAAGAACTCTTTGACGAATTACGAAGCGTTACCTTTAGAACAAACACTTTAGATTTTTACAACGGCATGAAAACCAAGTTACACAGGTTAAATAACAAATTGTAACCATTTTAGGAGAAACCGAAGCAACTAGAGAGAGTGCGATGAACAACAAGCACACTGCCCTCAATATCTTTAAAAACAAACTTCCTGAACCAATGAAATCAATCCTTTTCTGTAGGAACCCAGAAGACTCGGAACATGCTATGGACATACTGTTCCAAGCCGGGTACGCACATACAGGGAACAATAACGTGAACAATTGCACAGAATTTAAAACTCATTCAAGTAATAGGAATACTGACTATAGAAATAATACACAATACAATAAAAAAGACAGTAGGAATAGAACACAGTACGGGAATTCCCAACAACCATTCAACAGAAGGAATTTGCAACCAATGCCTAAAAATAGCGGAAGAAATTACCAACAATCCCAACCATACCAACAAGCAAACCCACAAAACTCCAGTCCTCAAAACCCATCCTTCCAGAGACCAAATTTCAGAAACCAACCGGAACCTATGGACATATTAAAAATAGAAGTGGCTGAAAATTTTCAGGAATCAGCCTCAAGAATAAATTACCATTTATAATAATAAAAACAAAGATAAGTTTTATAAGACTTATAATAGACACAGGCCCAACAAACTCCATTTTAAATCTGGGTATCTGCGACCCCAAAAGAATCCAACTAGCCCACTTTTAATTAAAACTCTCCAACATCGAATTTACACTGACAAAAAGGCAATAGTACCCATGTTTGAAGAATTTAGCGACGTTGGAACTAACAAACCAATAGAATTTTATATAATAAAATTTCATGACTTTTTTGACGGTCTAATAGGTAACGATATATTGAAACCACTAAATGCCTGTATCGATTATTGAAAGAACGAAATAAACATCGGTAACAACACACTCCCTATGCACTTTGAAAACGAAAACTTAAATGAAAGAAAGATAGTAGTACCAGATGACTCTGACCTAGTATATTATAAGGAAGAAAACGGAGGAAACATTGTAAGAGAGAGAATTTTAAATGTAAGAAATCAAGATGACGAAAATTTTAACATAATCGTAAATAAAGAATCCAAACCATTGGCTGACCAAATTAGAATAGGACACTTGAACCCCGAGGAAATATCACAATTTTTGCAAATAATAAAAGGATATCGTAACATTTTGTACCAGGAAARTGAAGGACTTTCATTTACTTCAACAATAAAACATAGARTTAGAACTACAAACAACATACCTATATTTTCTAAGTCATATAGGTACCCGTACGTACATAAGGAAGAAGTCACAGATCAAATCCAAGAAATGTTAAAACACGAGATAATTAGGAATAGCAATTCTCCCTACTCAGCCCCAATTTGGACAGTGCCAAAGCCAGTACTTCAACACTCGATCTGGCGAAGGGTTTCCACCAAATCGAGATAGAGGAAGAAGACATCCACAAAACTGCATTTAGTGTCGAAGGAGGGCACTATGAATTTCTGCGAATGCCTTTCGGACTAAAAATAGCCCCTGCAACATTCCAGAGATTGATGAATAATCTACTCCAAGATTATATCAGCAAAATCTGACTAGTATACCTGGACGATATAATCATATATTCAACATCCTTACAGGAACATATGAACTCACTTAGACTTATATTCGCAAGATTACATTAGGCAAATTTAAAAGTCCAGCTAGATAAATCAGAATTACTAAAAACGGAAACAGAGTTCCTTGGGCACATAATTACAACGGAAGGAGTCAAGCCCAATCCTAAAAAGATAGAATGCGTTGTTAACTTCCCAATACCCAATACAGTAAAACAAAATAGATCAAGCAGTTCTTAGGGCTCACAGGCTACTATAGGAAGTTCATAAAGGACTACTCGGCTATGGCTAAACTAATGACTAGTTGCGTAAAGAAAGATTCACAGATAAATATAAATGACTCGGACTACGAAAAAAGTTTTAACACCCTCAAGTCCCTACTAACGCATGATCCAATATTAACATGGAAGAATAATTTCTATGAAGGAAATGGACAGTTAATCCAACACAACTGAATGCTATTTTTATCGAAGATGAATTTTATACTATGTTTAAAACTGTTTACGAAAAACTATTTTCAAATAACCCAAATTTTAAAGTACTTAGATCTACACTCATGACGGAAGACATAGAAGACGAAAATCGATTAACTGAAATTATTAAAAATGAACATCTTGACAAAAACYATAGAGGAATTCAGGCAGTATATAAAGAATTAGTTACACGAATTTACAATCCTAAATTAAAACAAAGGAAAACTCAGTTCATAAATAACTGTGAAATTTGTAACTTAGAAAAATACGATAGGAAACATCCGAAGATCCCTTACAAAATTACAGAAACTTCATCCAAACCTCTGGAAACATTACATATAGACGTATTTTATACTTTAGGTAAGAAACTTTTTATGACAGCAATTGGTAAATTTTCGAAGTTCGCGTWAGCATTTCAAATAATTGGTAGGAGTTGGACAGAATTTAAAAAAAAACTTTTGCTGATAACACTGTATCACAAATTTGAATTTGTTTCTTGTTCCACGGATGCCACTATCCAATTTGTATGTGAAATGGCTCGCTGATTTCGAAAATTAAGTAAAATTTTTTGTACCGTTTTTCGACCAAAAAATAAAGGTGTCTTCATTTAATCATGTATATCTCACTGACCAGTTGAGCACCGTTATTGCCTGGCGCGTTGCGGTGTAATTTGTTAGTGCGATCGCGGGTAACGAGGGTGAGTGACCGCGAGTGATTTTGTGCGGGTACACAATTTTGTACAATTTTGTGCATTTTTGTGTACTTACAGCGGTAAGTAATTTTTCTTATTACTTATTTCATACGGACAACGTGGATGACCATTGTTATTGGCGGAAGCTCTGCACGGTTCCAGTGTAGCTCCGTGTTGRTTGCACTCTTGCTGACTGGACTGCTTGCAAGTTGTTCTGTGCTGAGCATCTGGTGTTTAGTTGGCTCAGTGTCAGGGGAGTCTGGACAGAATTGCCCAAAGGGTGCAGACGTCTGTCCAGCGTTGGAKATTGCGACTCCTGTGAGGACTAACGGTCGTAAAAGCGGACCGTTTAGCGCACGGTGCGATTCGGTACAGCGTCACATCGGTCGACTCCGGACCGTTACGGGGACATTGTCCGTCCGGCGGCCAATTGAGTGGCCTTTATCCTAACTCCGGTTGGGGTTGTGGGCTGTGCCACTGCGAGCACGCTATAGTCGACCGCTTGGGTGGTCRCTTTTATTGAGCGGGCCTTCGCGTGGGTCGCACTTTTCAACGCGTTCAGACGCACGCACCTGGAGAGCAGCTGCTCCAGGTTCCTCATGGCCAAGAGCCTTCTGCACTAGTGGTACGCCAGCGGATCAGCTCGACTGAAGGGTAAGTCGGGAAGCGAGATGCCTCGTGGACGGAAGAGGAGGACGAAGACCCTCGCTGGAAGCGGAGATTCCGCCGCTTCCACAGTCGTGGATGACTCCACGTCAAGGGTGGTGGGGCGGTTATTCGCACTCCCTCTGCTCTTGAGAGAGAGAGAGTGGCGAATAACAGCAAATTTGGGGAGGTGGGGTTGGACGTCTCTGTCAACCGGAAGTTGGGTCGTCGGGTTGTAGTCCAGGGGGTCCATACGGAGATTCCCCATGAAGAATTCATGGAGGAGCTACTTCGGCTGAACCTCCAGGATTTCAGCCCGGCGTCCCAGAGGTCGGACGTAAGGCTGGTCAGTCGTCCCTGGAAGGTGACCCCTGACGGTAGCACCAATGTCGTCCTTGAGGGTACGGACAAGTTGATGTCCACCCTCCTGGGGGCAGGTAGGTGCTACATAAAGTGGTTCTCCTTCCGGGTGCGACCGGATAGCCCCGTCGCTGGCWGCKTCCGGTGCATGGGATTTGACCACAGGGTGAAAGAGTGTAGGGCTACAAAAGATGTCTGCCGGAGGTGCGGTCAGGAAGGCCACAAAGCTGCCAGTTGCGTCAATGCACCACATTGCCGCAACTGTGCGTTCAAGGGGAGGCCAGCTGGGCATTTTATGATGTCAGCTGCCTGCCCTATATATTGTGGTCTTGTTGAGCGCACCCTCGCCAGACACTGATGGTTGGGATCATCCAACTTAACTGTCAGGGCTCCTATGCCGTGATGTGTGAGTTGGGGGGTTGTATGGGTGAGGGTGGGTGCGGTATTGCTCTACTCCAGGAGCCCCACGCCACCAATGGTGTGGTTCGGGGTCTCCCTGGGGGTTTTAAGGTATTCACTGACCTTAGAGCTAACGCCGCAGTAGTTGTGAATAATCCACGCTACGATTGTGTAGTTGTGGATTCTTCACAACTGGGTATATGTGTAGCTGTAGAAGGGGAGTTTGGTAGGATGATTGTCGCTAGTTTATATTGTAAATATAGCGAGCCCCTAGAGCCCTACCTGGGCTACATGGAWAAGCTACTACTACTTGCGAGTAGTAGCCCATTTATCCTAGGGCTAGATGCGAATGCCTCGTCCTCGATGTGGTTTAGCACGGTATCCCGGCATTCGTCTGAATACCAAAGCCACAGTCGAGGTGAGGCATTAGGCGAATGGGTGGTGGCTAATAGCCTCCACATTTTGAATGAGCCG